TTTTTTTGTACTGGTTATCAAACTCAGGACCTTGCACTTGCAAGGCAGGCAGCGGCACCACTGAGCTAAATCCTCAGCCCAAATCCTTAAGAAGTATATATTGGGGTGAGGGAGTTCAAAGTGAGAGATAAAGAAGTTAGGCAAGCTGGGCACAGTGGTGCAGCCTATCATCCCAGCGCTCAGGAGGCTGAGGCAAGAAGATCATAAGTTCAAGGCCAGCCTGGGATACACAGAAATTCTGTCTCAAAAAAAAAAAAAAAAAAAAAAAAGCAGAGGTAATAGCAGTAGTAGTTGTTAGGCAATGACTATTCAATATGTACAAACTAAGAGTCCACTAGAGAGAAAAACAAGACAATCAAGGGCCAGGGATTTAGCTCAGTGGCACAGCACCTGCCTGGCAAGCTCAAGATCCTGAGTTCGATCCCCAGTAGAAAAAAAAAATGATCAAACAGAACACCAGAAAGAAGTCTATACAAGAAATTTTTTTTTTCCCAAAAATATTTCAAACTACATACCAAAAGAACGTTCTAACCCAGGCTGATAGGGGAACACACCTATAATATCTGCTATTCAGCAGGCTGGGTCAGGAAGATCTCAAGGTCCTGGCTAGCCAAGACCATGTCTCGAAAAAGGCTAAGGATGTAGCTCAGTGCTCCCTAGGTTCAATCCATAATATTGGGGGAGGGGGATTAACATTCCATGTACCTAAGATGATAACCCAATACTACAATGTTGACAGGTTACTGAGGTTTGATCCCTAGCACCACAAAGAGGGTTGGGGGCTTTTTTTAAGGAGGTCTAAATGGAATTGAAGTTGAATATAAAAACAAATGAACCTCAATGTGTATTGGCAGCATAACACCAAGGAGGAGCTTTTCCAGATAATGTTAAAACGGTAACTCTATATATCCTTTGTGGACTATACCCTAAGAATAAAAACTAAGGGAAGCAGTTACTGGTTTTCAGTGATAATCATGTTTCAGTATTGTTATTTGCTATTGTGAATGTAACATTTGGATAAAACAAGTTACTGCAGTACTCTAATTCTGTTATCCCTAGTAACTTGAAGACCAAGATTCTTCATATGCAAGAAAACAAACAAATGTAAGATTAGAAAAGATAAATTTTAAACCCAGTGGTTCTAATTTTTAATTAGAAGAAAGAGTACAAAACTTAAGATATACTTTATGTATGAATAGTCTCATATCTCCATTCACCACTCTGGATGTTAGCTGTGTCTACATATACTAAAGATTTACCATGAATTGATAATTGCTGAATTATAATACTCAGTTGACTAATGTTTTTATTTAAATTTTTATTGTATTTTAAAACTGAAAAATATTTTGCCAGATATTAATATGAATGTTTAAATGTTTCTGAATTTTTTTAAATTATTGCTTCAATTAATAGTGGTATTCATAAGCAAATTTGCTGGCTATAGTGAAAGGAAGAATAACAGCATATTCATGCTTACTCTGTCTTATTGAACTATACAAACTTTCAAATTGTTTACCGTAAGACTAAGTGTGTAAGAAAACCACATTTTATCTTACCTAATTATAAAAAATACTATAAAGATATAATATATAGTCATGTAATTGCAATATTTTGGAGAGAGTGCTATTTTTATTTAGATTTTAATAAATGATACAGTTTAAAATAGTCCATCTTCAAAATCATACTTGCTTTTGTATTAAACTGTCTTAAATAAAAGTGTTTCTAATGTTGCTTCAAATTGCTTTGTGTCTTATGGCTTTTTGACAATTTATAAATTAAAAAACAGGTTAACAGGTTAAAATAAGTTTAACTTCGGAATTTATTGAGGCATGTTTTCTCTATTATTATTGACCTTGCACAAATTCTATATTTAAGATTAACCCATTCAAGGGGGAAGAAGTCAGCAACCAAAGCATCTGTTATGTTAATTATTATAGGTTTCTTTTGTTTTGTTTTGTTTTGTTTTTGTGGTACCGGGGATCAAACTCAGGTCCCTTGCGCTTGCATAGTAGGCATCGAAACCACTGAGCTAAATCCCCGGCCCTATAGGTTTCTTTTTTAATGTAAGAATTGAAATATATCTTGATTTTTCTAGTTTTTACACTTAAAATTAGAATGTAAGATTGCTATTTGATTAGTGGGATTATCTTAATTAAAAGTGATACAGATGTGGGAAAATTCTAATAGCCAATCCTAATTTATGATACATTTAGAAGGTTTTTACTTGCACAAAATCATATACAGGTTACTATTTTAGGAGTCTAACCACATTTGATCGATTTTAGGACAGTTTTAATATTTAATGCATTGTTTTCTAGTAAGTTATTAACTGTAAAATATAAATTTATTTCTTTTTCTTCCATCAGAGTACAGTCGTTTTGAAGCAAAAATACATGACTTACGGGAGCAGATGATGAATAGTAGTATTAGTTCAGGATCAGGCTCTCTGAGAACTAGCCAGAAGCGATCCCTCTATGTCAGGTAAATTTTTACTTCTACTTATGGTAACCCTTAATTATTTGTGCATATAAATTATTTTATTTTCACTGTGACTTACCTAGGTTTACTACAGGAAAATATATTGCAAATCCATAAAGTGCTTTTTTAATGATCTCCTGATAGTGTATCTTTCAGAAGCTAGAATATTATTACAATTTCATTAATGGAAGTTATATGGTATTAGCCTTTGAATAGTAATGATTGATAAGGAAAGACAAAATAATTATGGACTTGAAATTTTTTGATAGATGTTTTAGTAGTGACTGCAAGCTTGGTATATCCTCCCATACTTAGATTTACTTGTGTGCTTTTGTAGGAGAATATGCTCCATTTGAGTATCACTTAATTATATGGCAATTCCCATAATAGCAAAGTGAGCATATGAAAATAAGTTTAAAATATATATGTATATGAGAAACAAATACGGATAGCCTCACAAAAAATACATTTTAGAAAATTTGTTTTTTAAATTTAAGAGAAGACGTTATTTTTCTGTAAGATCAATGTAGCAACATAGATGTATATACCATTAGTATATAAACTTTTTCTTCATTCAATTGACTAATGAAACTTGAAACAAAGCATTATCTGTATTGGATATACTTTTTCTAATAGTTTTTACTGAAAACGGTATACTATAATTTTAATTAACCACTACAAGTAATCTCAACCATTCTTCATTCATCATTCATTTCTCCTGATCTTATTGGGGAACCTATTCCTAATATTTTTTATTTATATCTGGAGAGAGATAGTATATGTTATATAAATAGACATGTATACCACACACATTTGTGTTCATATAAAAAATCTGTATACATGAACATGTGTTCTATATTTTTATGTTCTATGACTTTTATCTCAATTTTATTCTATGATACATAATAAAAGGATACTTTTTTACTTTCTTCTTTTGTTATGTTTCTACTCATTTCATTCTTTATACCCTGATGAGATGAGAATCCTAAATAGCAAATTTTTCTCTCCATCCAGTTCTTGTAATACTTAAGAATTATGAAACTCATCTGTCCCACTTCCTCAGGAGGCTGAGGAAGGAGGATCACAAGTTCAAGCCCCTCTAAGCAATTTACCGAAACCCTGTCTCCAATAAAACAATAAAAAGGGCTGTGTATGTAGCTCAGTGGTATAGTATTTGCCCAGCATGTGTAAGACCTTGAGTTTAACCTTTGTTACCACTAAAAGAAATGTTTCTGTTCCAAAGTTATTAATATCCTTATTTTTCTATATTTTTTGAGCAAAATATTTATTGGTATGTTTTAGATGTGTATAATGATAACATTCACCAAGGGGAATTTGTACCTGTACATGATATATCTTCCTTCTCCTTTTTTTCCATTCTCCTCCCCTCCCTTCAACCCCTCATCCCCTCCTTATTTACAACACCTTTGTTTCCATTTTTTTTTCCTTTTTTCTTACCCCTTCTTTCCTTTCTCCCTCCCCCTCTCTTGTTCCCCTTCTCATTTGAACATTTTTTTCATTTTCCAGTATCTATTACACATTTTGGTCTTTATTTCTACTTTTGGTTTCTCATACCAGAGAAACATTGCAGTATTTAAACATATGTATCTCACTTAAGAGTATGGTCTCAGGGTGCATCCATTTACGTAGAAATATCTCAAGCTTATCCTTTATAGCAGAGCAGTACTCCATTTTATTAAAAAATGACATCTTTATTCATCAGTTGATAGGCATTTAGGCCATCTCAAAGATTTAGCTATCACAAACTATGCCAGTATAAACATGGGTGCACATATATCACAGTGGTACGATGCTTTTAATAAGATACCGAGAAGGAAAATGGCTAGGTCAAATGGAACCTCTAGTTTTAGTTTTTTGAGGAATCTCCACACTGATTTCCACAGTGATTGCACTAGTCTACACTCTCACCAGGAGTGGAGAGGGCTTCCTTTTTTCCCCACACCCCTGTCAACATTTGTTATTGGTTGATTTTCTGATAACAGCCATTCTTTCTGGAGTGAGATGGAATCTCAGCATTGCTCTGATTTGTAGCTCTTGAATGACCAGTGAACTTGAACATTTTTTCATTTATTTATTTGCCGTTTCTACTTCTTCATCTGAGAAATGTTTATTCATTTCAAATTCCCATTTTTTGATTGAGTCTTTAAATTTGGAGGATCTGATTTTTTTTTTTAGTTCTTTTATATATTCTAGATCTGAGTCCTTTAAGGAACAGCTGGCAAAATTTTTCCCCCATTGTGGGTTGTCTCTTCACTCTGTTGGTGGTTTCTTCTGCTGTGCAAAAGCTTAATAAGATGAGATCTGAGTTGTTGATTCTCTGTGGTATTTCCTGTGTAATCAGGGGTTTGTTCATAAAATCTTTGCCTACACCAATGTCTTCAGGAGTTCTGTCTTCCATTAGATTTAGTGTTTGTTTTAATATTTAGATCATTAATCCATTCTGATTTGGGTTTAGTCCATAGTGAAAGATATAGATCTACTTTTCAACTTCAGCATGTGGAAACCCAGTTTTTCTGGCACCATTTTTTTTTTTCAGGGGTGGGGAGGGACCAGGGATTGAACTCTGGACTTTGTGCTTGTGAGGCAAGTGTGGTGCTGCTGAGCTAAATCCCCAGCCCTCCAGCACCATTTATTAAAGAGGCTTTCTTCCAATAAAGATGTTTTGCTCCTTTGTCAAAGATCAAGTGGCTGGGTGTGTTTGCAGTTGTTTCTGCCTCTTCTAATCTGTTCCATTGGTCCTCAGTTCTGATTTTTTGCCAGTACCATGGTGGGGTTTTTTGGTTTTTTGTTTGTTTGTTTGGGTGTTGTTGCTTTTTTTTGGTTTTTGTTTTTTTTGTATCAGGGATTGAACTCAGGACCTTGCGCTTGTGAGGCAGGCAGCAGAACCACTGAGCTAAATCCCCTGCCTGGTACCATGCTGTTTTTATCACTGTAGCTTTGTAGTATAATTTCAAGTAAGGGATTGTGATGCAACCTGTCTTACCTTTGTTGCCCAGAATTTCTTTTGCTAATCTAGGTCTCTTCTGGTTCCAAATGAATTTTGGGGGGTTTTTTCTCTAATTCTGTGAGCTATGCTACTGGTATTTTGATTGGGATTGCATCTATATAACAGTTTTCGGAGTATGACCATTTTCACTATATTGGTTCTTCCTATCCAAGAACAAGGGATATCTTTCCATTTTCTAATAGCCTCTTTAATCTCATTTTTCAGAGAACTGTAGTTTTCCATGTATAGGTCTTTTACTTCCTTCATTAGATATTCCTATTTCTTTTGGGGGGATGCTATTTTGAAAGGTATTGTTTCCCTGATTTCTCTCTCAGTGAGTTTGTTATTTGTGTACAGGAATGCTATTCATTTTTGAGTGTTGACTTTATATCCAGCTGTGCTGCTGAATTTGGTTATTAAATCTAGAAGTCTTTTGGTGAAGTTTTTGGGGTCTTCTATGTACAGTATCATGTCATTTGCAAATAATGACAGTTTAACTTCTTTCCTATTTTTATTCCTTTTATTTCTTTCTGTTGTCTAATTGTTCTGGCTAATGTTTCCAGAACTATATTGAATAAGAGTGGTACTACTGGACATCCTTGTCTTGTTCCTGATTTGAATGAAAGCTTTGTTTTTGTCCATTTGGTATGATGTTGGCTGTTGGTTTGTCATGGTTTGTCATAGATAGCTTTTGTTAGATTGAGATAAAGCCCATCTATTCTAGTTTTCTGTAGGGTTTTTTATCATGAATGGGTGTTCGGCTTTGGCAAACACTTTTCCACATGTATTGAGATGATCATATCATATGATTTTTGCCCTTGGCCTTGTTAATATGGTATAATACATTTATTGATTTGCGTATGTTGAACCATCCCTGCATCCCTGGGATGAGTCCTGCTTGGTCATGGTGTATAACCTTGATGATTTGCTGTATTCTGTTTGCCAGTATCTTATTGAGGATCTTTGTGTCTATATTCACTAGAGAGATTGGCCTGTAGTTCTCTTTTTGGGTTGGATCCTTCTCTGGTTTTGATAACAGGGTAATGTTTGCTTCTAGGAATGGATTTAGAAGTATTGCTTCCTTTTCAGTTTCGTTAAAGAGTTTGAGAAGTAGCAGCATTAGGTCTTCTCTAAATTTCTTGTACAATTAAGCAGTGAATCTGTCAGGACCTGGGCTTTTCTTTGTTGGTAGGTTTTTAATTACATCTTCAATTTCATTGATACTGGTTTATATAGAATTTGTATATCTTCATTCAGCTTTAATAATTCATATGTATGTAGGAAACTTCATTTCTTCGATGTTTTCTATCTTACTAGAATACAAGTTCTCAAAGGAAGTATTGATCATCTGGATTTCTGTAGGATCTGTTTTGATTTCACACTTTTTATTCCTAATTGCATGGATTTAAGTCATTTCTTTCCTTTTTTTGATAAGGTTGACCAAGGATTTGTCAATTTTATTTAATCTTCCAAAGAACCAACTCTTCGACTCATTGATTATTTATATTGTTTTCTTAGTCTTCATTGCATTAATTTTTCCTCTGATCTTTATAATTTCCTCCCTTATACAGTCTTTGGGTTTGACTTGCTCTTCTTTTTTCTAAAAGCTTGAAGTTCAACATTAGGTTTTTTATTTGAGCTTGCTCTTTTTTTGATGTGGGAATTCACCACTATAAATTTCCCCCATTTCTTTCATTGTATCCCATAAGTTCTGGTGTGTTGTATTAGCATTATCGTTTAATTGTAGAAACTGTCTGATTTCTTCTTTAATTTCATTTTTGACCCATTGGTTGTTCAGGAGGATGATATTTAATTTCCATGTGTTTATGAAGTTCTTGTGGGGTTTTTTGCCATTGATTTCCAATTTCATTGCACTATGATGTGATAATATGCATGGGATAATTTTAATTCCTTTGCATTTACTTAAGTATGTTCTATGAGATAGTATGTGGTCTAATTTAGAGAACATCCCATGTGCAGCTGAGAAGAATGTATA